CAACATAACTCTTCCTTTAGTGTGTACAATCAAGCCGGTGCCGTCCCGCTAACCTGAAAACCTGAAACACATAACACATAACACTGTAAGCACGAAGCTTAGTGAGTTCCCCAAAATACCAAATTCAACACATATTAACCACTCGAGGCTATAAATCTGTTTGACCCTCTGGTCAATGTGACTCAGTGGGACCCTCCAGTCCCATAACTCTGTGGACACTCTGGTCCTAACTCTGTGGACCTTCTAGTCCTAACTTTGTAAACTCTGAAACATACATAGCATAAATCACATAGAAATAATGTAGTGTATCACATCATATAAATAACATACAAAATACTCTATCACATAACTCAAATTAACACTCTAGGTAAAGTATAGTGAGAAGACTCACCTCGGGTAACTCAATAATCTCGAACTCTGTAAAAATCTGGTCTAGCCTCCGCCTAATCATATGAAATAAACACTCTTAATCAATACATCTCTCAAGGCTAGACTATTTCGTCTCTTAGTACTATCAGAAGGGTAAAAGACCATTTTACCCCTCTCGTGGCTCAAAGACCCTAAAGTTGACCAAACCCTAAAAGTCAACAAAAGTCAACTCTCCGGGTTACGTTATGCGTACCAAACATGTACGTTGGGCGTACCCGGCGTCCTCACAGAAACGGGGTAAGCGACCCCTTACGTCGCGCTTACTGGGATTACGCCCCGTGTAACTCCTAGTTTCAAACTCTTAAGCTCTTGAGGTCTTAAACAGTTAAAACACATGTCCAACTCCTAGATCTGACCATTTCTTAGCCTCTTAATCCATAAAGTTGGTGAGTTTAAGCCTTTGCATGGCTGGACAAGTCAGTAACACCCATAACATTCCATTTCCAACCCTAGAAAGCTCATAACTCAAGCATGACCCCATAACAGCGACCAAGTTGGGATTTTTATGGATCTATAACACAAATATCACTGAAATGGGACAGATCTAGGTCCATGGAGTCCATTACACTCATAAAGTCTCCACCTTTGGGACTTTTAACCCTAGAAATGGTCCATGCAACATCAAACCAAATAAAGAGGACAGTTTTGAACTTTATACCTCTAGATGAAGCTCCTTCCTCTAAAGATCTCAGATCCAAACTTGCACTTCAAGCCCTAGCCTCCACAAGCTCCTCTCCTTCTTCTTCACTAACACACCAAGGCACTTTTAGCTCAAAAACACTCACACTCAAGCTAAGGACGATGGAAGGCTCTTTTAGGGTTTCACTTTCTGATATGGAGGCTGATAAATGAGCCTTAGCATCCCTTATATAGTGCACAAGTCTCATTTAGGGTTTTGCATCTGGGCCGACTACGCCCAACGTAATCTTTGGTACGCCCAGCGTACCTAGCAGTGTCCGCGTCCAAAACCATCCCACAAGTACGCGCATCATACTCCTCAGTACGCCCAACATACTCGCCTGCCACACTCTTCTTTTATGTACTAAACTTGACAACTTGGAGAAGAAGAAGGGTTAAATAGATACATCCAAATTCCCAGATGTTACACACTATTACTATACCATATATTACATATTATGTTCAAGTATTAACTCAATATATACACAAACCCGCTAAGGCTCATTTACATGTTGGTTTAAGGTTATTGAAATATTTTTAACATGATCCTAGTAAGGGTGTTAGTTATTTGAAATCTAAGTTTGATTCTCTTGTTTTAAGAGGGTTTTCAGATGCAGATTAGACAAAAAGGTTGTGCTCTAAACAGTCTATTAATGGTTATGTTGTGTATTTTGGAAACTCTCCTGTTTCTTCGAGAAGTAAGAAACGGGCTACTATTTCTCGTCCTTCTACATAATCAAAATATAGAGCTCTTGGTTCATTTTCTTGTGTGTTAATTTGGGTGAAAAAAGTTTTGTATGATTTAGGGTTTAAGAATGTTGTTCTTATAAATGTTTTTTGTGATAATGAGTCAACTATCAAGTTAGCTTTGAATCATGTGTTTCATGATAAAACAAATCATTTTGAAATTGATGTTCATTTTATAAAAGACAAATTTCAAAAAGAGTTATTAAGTTGATCAAAATTAGTTCTTCTAATCAAATAGCGAATATTCTTACTAAATCTCTTGTGACTTTATAAGATGAGATTCTTAGTGAAAAGTTTTGTCTGTTTGATCATTTTTCTTTAAAATAATAGTTTTACAAAATGATTAATTTGAGGGGGTCTATTAAAATAAATAAATATTTTCAAACTAAACATTTTGTCATTTATTTGTTTTGGATATATTTTTTGTTTTTGTATTTGTCTTGATGTACAAGTGATATTTGTTTGATATTTAAGGGTGAAAGTGTAACTTTTTCAGGTTCTTTATTGGGTTTACACGCGGGTCTTGGGGTCATCCTCGACCCGGTGTATATATTGCTTAGCTGCTTGTATTTGTCTTATTATTCAAGATTAGAAGTATACGTCTCTTAGCTTTCTCTCTCGTTCTCTCAAAATATCTCCATTTAAGGTCTTTGTTCAATGTATAGATTAAGGTTCTTCATAGCTCTCGTTTGTTCTAGTGATGTTTTAGGTTAGATTGAGTGATACATTTAGAGAGTAGATTAGGTTGATTAAAAAAATTAAATATTAAAATATAAACATTAAATATTTTTTTTAAATAAAATTTTGAAATAAGAAAAGAAAAAAACGTATTAATTACAATTACTATCATGTTTATTACATTTAACACTTTGCATATATAAATATATAAGTATTATGTGATTTTTTAATTTTAAAAATTGGAAAAACCTAGAAATTGATATTTGGATATTATTTATTTCAAAAATATCATAAAATAACAAATGTCAAAACAAAGATTGACATGTGGTAAAATAGATCTTCATTTATTATAGTTGATATGAAAATCTTCAAATTCTTTGTCCTAAATGATATAAGAATCGCTAATGTTGAGAAAGTTTTGTTTCTACATTTTTCATAGCAACTTGTTGGCTTATGGCAACAATAACACCACAAAAATATTAACACATCTAAGAAAAATAGCATACCTAGCCAAGAAGTAAGGCGGTAGTCAACGGAGTTGGTCAAAAGTGTGGCTTTCTAAACACAATTTTCTATCAGCTATGGCGGATATGGTAATAGTAACGGACACATAAAAAAAATATAAGGGGTTGCTTTACGTTTTTAAAGGTTGCACTACTAAATTGGTGATTTTTAAAATTACTTATTAACTTATTGCTTTTTTCAAAAAGCCAATGTACTAAAAAAAAAAAAAAAAGCTAAAAAAATGTTTGGTAAGGATTAAGTTGTTTGGAAAAAAAAATGAATTTTTTAAAAGTCAATAACATTTGGCTTTTTCAAAAACCCAATAAAGAGTTTCAACAAACCCTAAAAAAACTCATTTTTCAACAACAATTTCCATTACTAAAAAGGTTAGATCGACATATTTATATTAAATTTACACTTATTAAGACATTGTAACGAATTTCCAACAAATTTGTGATTGATTTCTGATGTATTTATGATAGATTTTTGACAAAATTTGACGAATGTACACTAACTTTTGCATTTAACAGTAAAAATTAAAGAATTGTCTATTTCACTTAGGACACCAATTAGGTTGCCCATATATGGTAGGGAGCGGTGGTTGCCGTGGTAGTGGAGAATGGTCGTAGGACGAAGAGTATGTAAAGTTATGACCGTGTGTTACATACAATTATTTAATCTATTTTTAGAGAAATTTACAATTAAAACAACCACTAAAGTCGTAGGTGGTTAGTTATACATACTATTTCCTACCTTGTAGCTGCTATGTAGCGGTGTTAGGCTGTGAATAAGGCCCAGTACCAGCCCATGGGCCGGAAGTATATATATCCTTTTTTTTATTAAGAAAAATCTAATTTTCTACTTTCAGATTACAAAAAATTCTCAAATTCTCTAATGACTGAAAATATATACACTCCCGATACGTTGCAAGTTATCTACTTATTTAGTGCTTTAATCATGTCTATTAGGTTTTATATATCTAAGATAAGTTGATTTATGATTTATTTGTCAAAAAACAAAAATATATGAAATCTAGAGAGAATTGACATCTAGACGGTGGGAGTGAGAGAAAATCGCATTTGGAGCGTAGGAAAATCGCATATGTATGTTGACTTTTGAAAGGAAATCACATATATGGAGTGTAATGTACAAGCATCAAAGAATTATACAATTGTAGGTATATGTGTAGATGACAATATACAAATCGTTCAAACACGAGTCATGTATTAGGTACTTGTACTTTTACAGTTGGGCTGTGCTTATGTGAATATACAATCAATTGGTGCACGAATTATGCATCAATAGCGTGTACATGCAAAAACAAAAAAGGGATAATAAATGAGAAACTCAAGCCACATTACAACAAAAGACTTGATAAGGAAGACATACACAAAAGACCAATAAAAATGGAATAATTGGACCTAATTTTAATTCAATTAAAACTATTGAAACTAATATCATCCGTCAAAAACACATCTTTCTTGACTTAGTATAAATTTTAACCACAACATTTAATCTTATCATTTAATGCTTTTGATCTTTTGTTTTGTTTTTCTTTTGGCAAATCTATTTACTTTTAAGCTAACATCAACCCTTTTGACCTCAAAAAATAAAAATAACACCTAACACTGCTGACCTAAAAACATTGATTTTAATCTTCTAGTTACGACATACCATTGAATTACTTCAATATCCCCGTGAATAATAAAAAAGAATAATTATCTTCTTCCAAACATCTTGAAAACACTTAAATGTCTGTTACCATCTCTTTTCTTTTTGAAATTAATTAACAATTTCGAGTTTATTTTGCATGCCAGCATCATAGAATGACCCGTGCTTTTTATGTCTTGCATCAAACTTATTTTATTGGAAAAAAAATTGTCTAAAATAAAAAAGTTCTTTTTTTTTTTTTTTTTTCTTTTTTTAACAACTTTTTTGCGTCTGAACAGAATACAAAGGCGAACATGAAAATAATTTACTCAAAGGCGCCGACCACGTGGCACGTTCTCGAATGTGTGATTAATATTATTGACCTCCAGATATATAGGCTTCCTACTTTTCCGGTCATCGCCACCGATATCGACGTGTCCAAATCTCATGTTCTCCACGTCAGCCTCATACTAGCCGGCACGGACGAAGATTCATCTCCTTCCGACGAAATCGCGAAGAATATTTGTAAAAAGGACAAAGACAGCTAAACCTTCACCTCATCTCTCTTCCTCTCTGTATGGTAAATACCTTTTTCTCTTTCTATTTCACATGTATATATACGTATAGCACGATTATCATGTTGTTTTAAACGTATCTAGATCTGAAATTCTGAGATTTTCACTAAATTTGAAGCAGAAATGGGGAGTTTGAATTTCTACGAGAGGTTTTCTAGAACGTTCCGTGAAAATCCTTCGCTTTCGAGATTTCTCGTTGTCTTCGCCGTCAGGTATGCCGTTTGATCCTCTTTCGAATTTCTCTTTCTATTCACTGTGAACCAAATTTGCTAAAAGGTATTATGCTGTGTTGTTAATTGGTAGTCTAAGGACGTTTTTAAGTAAATTAGATCTCGATTATGCTGAAAATTGGATACAATTGTTAATAGTTTATGGTTTAATACTTCGCGTCCAGATTAGGCATAGATATTTTGAAGTGTTAACGGAGATTTGGCAATATATTGATGATTGCTTTGTTGATTCCTTGTTCAATTTTGTGATTGATTTTTAACTCGAGTTTGATCCCTTGTTATTTGTCTGGCCAACAAGATTACCTTGCTTCTTTTGGCAAAGCTCTAACTACACTTTTTTTGTCTTATTACCTTAAAACTCTGAATTGTTTCAGTTGTTTGGTTGGTGAACACATGCTGTTGTCTCTGTCTGATCATTAATTGTGAAATTTTGGAATGAATTTCATTTTTACCTTGTTTCTATGATTCACTTCGCACCACCATGGAAGTAAATCATTATCAATGATGCTTGTAATGCTGTCTACTATGATTCAGAAAATCTGAACTCTAAAGGCTAATTAGTTGAAGAATATGCAAAATCTTACCAAAAACATCAAAAATATGTTTTAGATCCTCCAAATTTAGGACAACCATTGTTTCCATCAAGTAAAACCTAAATAACTACTGACTACTGTTATTGATGGCTGATTTTCATCAACTTTCATTAATGTACACAATATAACTTTGTAGTGGTGGAGGTCTTGTGGCTTATTCTGAAGCAAACATACAAACTAGTCCAAAGATTGATGAATTACCAGAGCCAGGTAATGACAAAAAGAAGGTAGTTGTGCTTGGAACTGGTTGGGCTGGAACAAGTTTCTTGAAAAATCTCAAGAATCCCTCATATGATGTTCAAGTCATATCACCAAGAAATTACTTTGCATTCACCCCTTTACTACCAAGTGTTACAGTTGGCACAGTGGAAGCCCGAAGTGTTGTTGAACCAATTCGCAACATTGTCAAAAAGGTAATCGAATCAGTTTAGTAAATACTAAATATTCTATGTTTTCCATGTTTCCCACTAGTTGTGAGATATTGTTCATGTTTAACAGAAGAATGTAAATGTAAACTACTGGGAAGCTGAATGCTACAGGATTGATGCAAAAAGTAAGAAAATTTACTGTCGTTCAAGTCAAGATGATAAAGAAGAATTTGTTGTAGATTATGATTACCTTGTGGTTGCAATGGGAGCCCGTGTTAATACATTTAACACTCCTGGTGTTGAAGAAAACTGTCACTACTTGAAGGTAGTTGTAATTTCTGTTTCATATCGGGTGTATAAAACTATATATATTATTGATTATTTTACTAATTCGAATTTAGGAAGTTGAAGATGCTCAGAAGATTCGAAGGAAAGTTATAGACTGTTTTGAAAAAGCAAGTTTACCTAATTTGAGTGATGATGAAAAGAGAAGAGTTCTTCAGTTTGTAGTTGTTGGTGGAGGTCCTACTGGAGTTGAATTTGCAGCTGAGCTTCATGATTTTGTGTCTGAAGATTTGGTGAAGTTGTATCCATCTGTTAAAGATTTGGTTAAAATAACACTTCTTGAAGCCACTGACCATATTCTTAACATGTATAACCCTTTGTTTCAGATTCCAAACAACCATTTTATAGCAACCTTTTTTTTTTTTTTTACCTATAATAACTGTATATGGTTATGCTGTGTAGGTTTGACAAACGTATCACAACTTTTGCAGAAGAGAAGTTTCACAGAGATGGTATAGATTTAAAAACAGGGGAAATGGTTACAAAAGTTTCAGAGAAAGAAATTTCAACCAAAGTAATTAAAACTGGTGAAGTCTCTACTATACCCTATGGAATGGCAGTTTGGTCAACAGGTATTGCAACTCGTCCTGTCATAATGGATTTCATGAAGCAGATTGGCCAGGTATTTTATTTTCTTGATAGGGGTAAAATCGTCATTTTACGGTTTCCGACTTTTGACCAGAGTCATGTTTTTTTTAGGCGAACAGACGTGTGTTAGCTACTGATGAATGGCTTCGAGTTGAAGGGACCAATAGCATATATGCACTTGGAGACTGTGCCACAATCAACCAGCGTAAAGTCATGGTGTGTTTACAAATATACCCTTGAATTATACCACAAAATATTGCTATAACCGGTAAAGAAAGAAAGAAGCTGACGTGGCAGTTAATAATGATCAGGAGGATATTTCAGCTATATTTGAAAAGGCAGACAAGGACAAGTCAGGAACACTAACAGTAAAAGAATTTCAAGAAGCACTTGATGACATATGCGACAGGTATCCTCAGGTGCAAATTTATCTCAAGAACAAACACATGAGCAATCTGGTTGATCTACTTCAGGAATCCAAAGGAGATGTTTCAAAAGAGTCAATTGAACTCAATGTTGAACAGTTTAAATCCGCTTTATCTCAAGTAGATTCTCAAATGAAGAATCTTCCAGCAACAGCTCAGGTTGCAGCTCAGCAAGGTTCGTATCTTGCGGATTGTTTCAACCGTATGGAAGACTGCACGAAGAGTCCCGAAGGTCCGTTGCGCTTTAGAGAGTCTGGGCGACATAGGTTTCGTCCCTTCAGGTTGGTCAAAACTCTGATTTTGACTTTGAAAAGTCAAAATTAACTCTGATTTGTATTTTATATGAATGTGTAATGTGTAATAGGTACAAGCATCTTGGTCAATTTGCTCCGTTAGGAGGTGAGCAAACAGCAGCACAACTCCCAGGTGATTGGGTGTCTATTGGCCACAGCTCTCAGTGGCTTTGGTACTCTGTCTATGCAAGGTATGTATATTGTATAATACTTTGAAAAATCTATCCACTATTTGTTGACCGTTTGACTTTTTTTTGGAAACAGCAAGCAAGTAAGCTGGCGTACAAGGTCGTTGGTGGTGTCAGACTGGATGAGGCGTTTCATTTTTGGGAGGGACTCCAGTCAAATATGAGTGTCCATCTCTTAAAATACCAAAAAAGGTCACAATTTTCTGTTTGCTAAACACATTTAATCACTTTTTTTTTTTCTCAAAATGTTTACTGCGAATAAGTTTCCACTTCGGCGTTACTTTACATCTAGTTTTAGATGAGCCTCAGAATGTGTATTTGTATTGTATAATGAAGATTATGTGTATCTAGCCTTTTGGGTTTTTTTTTATTCACTTTACGCATGATCTGTTTCCTTGTTATGTGAATCAACTGTTTGAATATTAGTAAAGGAGTACTTTAAGATTTCGTTTAATAATGATGTTAAATGACAAAATCGATGTTTATGGTATAACTGTTGTAAATCAAAATAGTGAGTAACTGTTTGTTTGATATTAATATAATTATATTCTTTTTTAAAGTTTAATTGTATTCAAGTATTTAAACATAATATAGTTTGAAGCTCAAAATTACAATTACAACTTTCCTCTTCTTGCTCTTTGTTTCAAATTCTAAAATAAATATAGGGAAAATTACACAGGAGCCCTATGATGTTTTGCATATGTACCCATTCAGTCCCTTAAGTTATTTTTTTGCCTTTTAAAGGAACAAAGTTGGTTTTGTCGGATCGAATAGGTCTTTTGTAAGAATCGAAGGGGTTATCGGATGACTTCCTCATCAAAAACGTTGAGTTTGTGCCTTATTCTTTGACTTCTTTCTTTTTCTCGGTTCCTTCTTTTTCAGTTTCTTCATCTTCTTTATTCTTCTTCTTCTTTGTGCCATATTCTTTGACTTCTTTCTTTTTCTCGGTTCCTTTTCAGTTTCTTCATCTTCTTTATTATTCTTCTTCTTCTACTCTGTTGCATCCAAACAAGAAATGACAGTGAGTTGCAATTGTGGTGAGTTGCACTTGTGGAAGTACGACTATCATATGGATCAATGATAAGGGTTTTTTTGGTTTTTAGCAAAATGAAAACTGATAATCTCATTGTCCTCCGGCTTCTTCCTTCCTTGCAATGGCTCCACCAACAAATAATCGGAACTAATAATCTATAAATTGGAACTGATAATCTCGATTGCTAAAGTCGATATAGTCTCAAAACCGGAACTAATAATATCGATTGCAGACGATACATGTCCGTGATTTTGACATTTACAATATGATTTTGATTTTGAAATGGCAAAATGCATAACTGGAACATGAGATTGGCTATTAATAACTTTGTTTTCTTAAAAGTCACGGAGATAACTTACGGGACTGAATGAAAAAAATATATATACAAAACATCATAGGGCGACTGTGTCATTTTCCTATAAATATAAAAGGATGTTAGGTTGATGAAACTTGAAATTCAAGGGAGACTTGATTTTTAATTTTTTTTTTTTTAATATTTTATATTTCCATCTCTTCTAACAAATAAAACATAATATTACATTATTACCACATCGCACATTTCTAAGCCCTATATTTGACATGCGTATGTTTTTTAGACCTCCGACTTCTGATTTTTCTGCTCATCGACTATCCTCTCAAATTGGTTCTATCAATTAAATTATATCTTCAATCAATCTCATAAAATCAGGGATTTCAACCTAATATCCATAAATCATGATTGAATTCTTTTTCAAATTTGAATCGTATATACAATGCAACATAATCTAACCTTTTTAGTAAATCGGGTTAAATCGGGTTGACTTGTTTATTGTTTTTTCAATCCAACCTATTTACTAAACAGATTAAATATGAGTTGACCCGTTAAATTTTCCCAAAAAAACCCTTTAAAAATCAAATAATCCATTAAATAATATTATTGTAACGGGGACGTTACTGTTTAACAATTTTCATTTTAAAATAGAATAAACACTCATTTTTAATAAAACTACAATCAGTTCAAACCATTTATTCATAAATCATTATTCAAAAATCAGAGTTATAAAGAAAACAATGCTAAATCTCGAATCATAAAATTGCTGATGTGTGTGTGCAATCCCGCCTTCGTAATCCGATAAGTACCTGCAAAATGTTTAATTGACATCTGTAATCATAAAGCTTAGTGAGTTCCCCAAAATATCACATACAACACAGCATAATCACCATATATAGGTTATCAACAACCCTAGAACTGTCAGCAACCCAAAGTATCCTATACAACATAACAATATAAACAATTCTGGATCATTAGTAACCCTACGGACTATCAGCAATCCCAGTGGGCTAATAACAATCAACAATACACATCAGGGGTTATCAGCAACCCTGGGGACTATCAGTAGTCCCGATGGGGCTAACAGCACACCTCAGGGGTTATCAACAACCATAGGGACTATCAACATTCCTACAGACACATAACAGAGCAGGAGTTATCATCAACTCGATTCACATATAACATCAATCAATAAATGCGACCTAGCTGGTCAACATGCATATACTACCACACATGCAAGTATAGTGAGGAGACTCACCTCGCAGATAGCAGCTAAACGCAATAGCTCCCATACAATGTAGACCGGTACTACGAGACACCTAATAGCAATAGGGAAGTACCCTCTCAATCTACACCCTAAAACCCTTAAATTAACCAAAAGTCAACCATGGTTAAAAGTAAACGGTTAAATTCAGCAGTCAAGGTCAGCCCACTACGACCTTCCATGACGTAGCCACCCATAGGCCACGTCGTGGCAGCTACACGACAAAAAGGCGTGGTAACACTAGTCTCCACACCGTGGCAACCAGACCGCCACATCGTGGGAACTGGGCTCTCACAGCTTAATGGATTAAGCTCTTAACTCTTAACCTCATGAACCCCAAAACACAGATCTAAAGCTTCCCAAGGTCTAGATGGATAAAGTTTCACAATTTATCCATTAAGGCATCACAATAAGCCAATATCTCAACTACTAAGTTCTTAATGCTTGCAACAAAAATATAGGTACCCAACTAATTCATACAAGCCCTCTTACTAACCACTACCATGGTCTAGAAACCAAATAAGGCATACAAATGTTATGAAGTTCACTCAAACTCCAAGAACAATAAAATATGGCATGCAAGTTGAATTTAATCCTTAGAAAGAAGCCTGAAACTTGAAGAAGAAGCAATAACATCACACTAAAACTAATCAACCTCAGGAGGCACTCAACCTTTAATCACAATTTTATGACTTCTAGATCACACTTGATTTCTAGTCAAGCAAGGCCACCCCACTATTCAACTATGCAGACCAAATGCTCAAAAAATTAATACATCCAAGGTTTTCCTTAGACTCATGCCGACTCACTGATAACTGGGTACAAAATCCACAATCAACCGTCGATGCCGACAACCTTGCATATAGACTCAAGAGTGAAGTATAAACCAACAAAGGCTAAACTATCCTGTACAACCCCTTGGTTCAAAAGCCCTGCATCAGACATAGAGATATATAGAAGAAACATCAGTGGTTTTGATCAACCCATCCCAAATTTAGTTATCATGACTGAGGTCCTCAAATACACACTTGACTTCTTGGAAAATCGTGTCTAACCAACCGCTCCTACGAGCGAAACTATGGTCAAAACTAAACTCGCATGAAATCCAAGCTCCCAAAACAGCTTAGGTGCACAATCATCACCCAAGACACCTAGGAGACGTATAACCACCTGCATCACTGGCCTCCTGGTATTCTATCCAGCATATAACTACCCCTATGTCAATCTAAACAACTATGGGTTATCAGCAATCCTAAAGTCATCAGCAACTCCGTAAATGCTCATAACAGCCATCAACTACTAAGACACAACTAGTCTAACATGTACCTAAATATGACATAGGTAAAAGAGTAAGAGAATTCACACGAAAGCTCATCATAAAGCAAAGACGGATCTACTAAGAAGAATCCCAAAAATGAACTGTTAATAAATCGCAATGAATTTTCTAGCAAGTCAACACCCTACAACTGCCCAACCCAACCGGTCGGTTACTGACCCATCAGAAACAAAACTATATTGCTCAAGCACCCGCCAATGCCACATAATTAACAAACCACGCATCTTCGTTACACAACTGTCACCCCCACTCACAAAAAGTGAAATACATGATGGCTCACGGCACGTCATGACACCATCCAACCACTGGGATGAGAAGTTAACGATTCCTCACCATTCTTGCCATTACCCAACAATAAACTTGAAGATTGCCGACCAACATTCAACAACCTAAAGACACACTGCCATCATCCCATTGGCCGGTAGGAACCCAGTCAACAATCCCACTCAAAACTTGCCAAATATAGGAGCCATGCCATCCTGAAACACACACTCTTCCATAGTCCAACTGTCACTGACACATCATCAGCCAAAACATGATTGTACACAATCAGGAAACAAAATATACAATCAAATGCCTGCTCCAACTTTTAAACACAGCATAACACACTCCCCAGGAGAAAAACAACGCTTATTAGACCAACAGTGTCCCTTCTTCACCGTGTCCTTAACCAAAAGGTAACGTACCAGTGAATCGAGTGAAACAACTAACATTAACCACTATTAGACACATTCTTCTAACAACCATAACAAGATCTCACACCTTGTTGAAGCTGAACAGACCTACTAATGCGCAAACAAACTAATAAAACTTTCAATTTCGAAAAGGACTCCAAAATTAACCAGAAATGTTGCCAATTTCCTATTAGAACCAATCCAAATACCAACCCAGCCGATGCGACCTTCCAAAACTGAATTTTGCGTAACCATGATTATACTTGAAAAGCTGAAAGATTTTACTCCAATATCCAATCTTCCAATAACTAAGGCCAGTTACCATCTCAAAACCACTATGAACGACAATTCCAAAACCAAGAAATCTAGAGAACACCTACATAGATACCATGATACATACTTTATTGAACTTGACTAAGGATTGGCACATCAGTTGCACCCTTAGCAGATACAACTTGAAGCCTTTGAATAAACTCAACGAACTATGAGGCCGATCAATCATGTCCCAAATCAAGCATAGATAACAATCCTATATAGTGGGCTAACCATGTTTCCTGTTACTGATGTAAAAAAGAGAAACGAACCTCCATCCAGATACATGGAGCTACCAAAAAGGATCTACTAGCCATAACAAGTTCCTTACCCATTAGCCATAACAAGGCCCAACCCGGAATAAATTGATTCCATCAATTAGAAGTTTTATGTAACGTCTCAAAAACGATCATAAAAATTTTCATTTAAAAATATATCAAATCATTCATTAATTGTTCAAAATCAACACCAAGTCATAATATTCAAAACATCATAGTACAATTATTTCAAATGCGGAAATCATGAAGGGAGGATGTTGTGCCATCACGC